CGAGTAATGGGTTCTCCATTGCAAAAGGACGGGTGGAAGGCGAGACTGTCTACCATCGATGAATTCGACATTCTTGCCGCGGAAACAAACGCTTCCCAAATCCTGACCCAGTTCCTCTCCAAGACCGCACATTTTTAAAACTTAAACCTGTTGCAAAGCCCTGGTCTGAGTGGTGGTGGGCATTTCGAATGTAATCGAGGCGCAGCCGAAAGATTTACACATGACGTTCTCACTCAACCGCACGAGCTTCCTTCGTGCCACGTCTTGTCATCTCCGTGCCTTCTTTCTAAATGTTCTGCTGTAAAAGCATCTCCGACACCGTCAACACACCATCCGGGCCGACTCATCACACGAGTGACGTCACTCACGTAGAGTTGACTCGACTGCCGATCTAGTGACGAGTCAGCCGGCGCTGACAAGCCCAGCTCTTTTTGTCGCACGCATTGTTTCCTCGAGCGTGACTGGGATCCCATTCTCGCTAAGCGCGGTTCGTTGCGTGGACACCGGGCCTGCATTCCAAGGCAGGCGAGGGGCCTCGAGGGCTGAGAGGCGAGAGATGCCCTGAGAACCATGGGATGGTGTCGCCCCAGTCAAAGGGCGCTTAGGAGTTGTAACGTATCATGTTATGTAACGACCCGATCGCCGGGTGGGGAAGCTTCTCCCCCATGTCAGGGAGATGCGACACCCCATGTGAGAGGGTGTGCCTATCCACCCCCTGCCGGGACGGCGGCGCCGAGTGGGGGAGTGGCAGGAAGAGCGGGAGGGCGCCACGCCATCGACCGCGTGACCGTGTGGGGTCGACCGCGTGACCGTGTGTGATCGACCGCGTGACCGTGTGTGATCGACCGCGTGACCGCGTGTGATCGACCGCGTGACCGTGTGACATCAACCGCATGACTGTGTAGGGACGATGCGTGACTGTGTAGGGACGATGCGTGACTGTGTAGGGACGATGCGTGACCGTGTGGGATCTAGGCGTGACCGTGCAGGGACGATGCGTGACCGTGTGGGATCGACGCGCGACTGTGTAGGGACGATGCGTGACCGTGTGGGATCGACGTGTGACTGTGTAGGGACGATGCGTGACCGTGTGGGATCTAGGCGTGACCGTGCAGGGACGATGCGTGACCGTGTGGGATCGACGCGCGACTGTGTAGGGGCGATGCGTGACCGTGTGGGATCGACGTGTGACCGTGCAGGGACGATGCGTGACCGGATCCTGCCCGTGACAGCGATGTTGACTATGGCGGTTGTAAAAGTGATGAGCGTGATCGAAGCCAGCTCTCATTGATTCAGGGTTGGGATTGACGAGGTTAAGGTTAAAGTGCCAGAATCGATGAAAGGTTGGCTCGAACCCAGTTTTCACCCAATTATTACCTATGCTCAGGTATTAGAATACGAGATTTTTCATGAGCGAAAAGAGTTTGCATAGAAATGCTTAACCAAACCCAAGTGAAAAGCAATCGACCAAAATTTGTTTTTTCCTGCGTTCACAAAAGCATCGATCACATGCGAAAGAACCTGATTCTCAGATCAGTGTCTGCTGATTCCTTAAAAATATGCCTCAAACGGGGTATGATCGGGCGTCAGGCGTTCATGACGTAGGAGAGCCCGGAAGCATCCGACTATCACGATGACGATGCAGTTTGAATAACACTAAATGAAAACGGCATTGCAATATGACGGAGCCCTGCTAACGGAGCGGAAGGGTCAGCATACCGGCGGCAGACTTGCAAGAATGCGACCACCTCGGCAACATTTCAGCCTGAGTGCTGTTGCCGACCGCGCCACATGGGCTTCACAAAGTACTGCCCGTCAAACGTGCAGTGCCTCGCTGACATTTGGAGAAATACTATGCCCGACTCGGCAAACGGCGCTCGTAAATTGCCGGTCGTAATTCGACCTTTGGGTGTTGACGGGCGGTTAACGGAACGGCTGATCACTACCGGGCGGCCCTGACCTGCGCCACTATCAAGCGCAGGTCACCGAGTGAACGAGGCCACAAGCTGACGGGCAGGCTCTGAGGGCGGACCGCTGTTGACCCCGCCAGCCTTGGCGTAATAAGCACGGCTCGGGTCGCCGGGACGCTACAGGAAGACGTGCTTGATGTGGGACGGCGGCTCTAATATCGTTGGGCGGCGCCGTTGTTCCAGGATATAAGCGTTGCGAGGGAGACGAATTCAGATTGCACGCTCCCGGAATTGAAGGAGAGACTTCGAAATCGGTTCGACACATCCAATAACTCAAAATTGATGTGCCCCGGGTGAGGAGTCGACAGCTATAAATCGAATCAGTCGTGAATTTCAGGAGGAGTCGAATGACGATGCTGGACGCTTTTCGTGGCATGTCACGAAAGCCCAGGCTTCTTTGGATGCCCTCAAGTACGGTCACTCGATTCAATGATCCTGTCACAAAAGTCCTGGAAAACTGTATGCAAAAGAGCTTAGAGAGGAACGTAGTGAGGATCCGAACATACCAAACATTGTGCAAATGCACAAGGTGCTTTCATTTAACATACGGATTTTAAATACGCCGCAACATGTATAATGCTGATGATTTGGGTTTTAGGGTGTGCTGTTCTCACATATTATATATAGTATATCTCACAAGTATATATATATATATATATATATATATATATATATATATATATATATACTTGTGTGTGTGTGTGCGTGTGCGTGTGCGTGTGTGTGTGCGTGTGCGTGTGCGTGTGTGTGTGCGTGTGCGTGTGCGTGTGTGTGTGCGTGTGCGTGTGCGTGTGCGTGTGCGTGTGCGTGTGACAATGTTAAAAAACAGGAACAGTTTTCTCATGTTTATGATATTACGTCCATGCCAACTTGAAACGCATGACTTTGTAATCGGGATCATAACTTTCTGACCTATGTGTTCCAACTTTGCGATGAAATTTTTCACTCACACCAGAGTTAAAGTGATTATAGCCACTACTTCTAAATATCAGGCCTATGGCCTTAGCATCTCTGACGCTAAAAATTATCTTCCTTTGGTTTACCAGCCGGCAATGGTTAAACAACTTATCAATCAAAACTTGGTTACATTGAGAAAGTTTGGCATTTCGAGGCCGTGCGCATGGTAACGAGTGAACAAGGTTACGTAAAAATAGCTTTGTGAAAGAAGACACGGAAATACTTCTTATCTTAACACCCGATGCCCAGTACTACCCTAAGAGCTGTCTGAAATGCAGGCGGCAAACCTGAAAGGTTTCGAAGGCCCGCACAGAGTGCAAAGATGGACGAGACATGCCAGTGGGCATCAGTGTTCATCACCTTGACTGGAGAACTTTTCCTAAGCTGCATAACCTAACGATGTTGTCAAACAAATTCCTCAGACAAAGTTTGCGTCTTCGGCCTTGGACAAGTATAATGGATGTGCGCCGATTCTTATCTCATGAAATCCGTGCGGTCAGCAATGCTGTCAAAGTTCCATCTAGGAGCTGATAGTTGTTGCACTGTGCTCCATCTCCGTTCGTCATTTGTCAGTTTGCCTTTTGTCAGCTCCATGCCTTTCCCAGCCGTGTGTACGTTGTCCGTAAACGTGCGTCTGCGATGCGTTCATTACACCGGTCACAAACGTT